TGTCCTCTTCCATTATTGCTCTTCAATTAACAGAGTTTCACAAATATTGGGGCCTTGAATATGATCAAGAGAGTAACATTTTTATTGATCTTTGGGTTAGACAAAGTCACTGAAGTCCAATAAGAATATATCCAGACAGCCACCATCAGTCAAGGGAAATAATAGCTCAAAAGAAATAGAGGGAGCTCACAAAGGCAAACTAGAATTGTTGTTGAGTGAAGGCAAGAACAGGAACAGGCTTCCTCGCTACATGATGATACACATAAAGGTAGTACTATAAACAATGTGGATAGAATTCACACAAATCTGATTTTATCAGAAGTTTATTGCAGTCACTGGAAATAAAAGAACGGGAAACACAGATGAAAGAAGGAGAAAGTAATTGATTTTGAGAGATACTGTATTCTATATCAACTCCTTCTACTTTCCTACCTAGAAAAGAAAGAAAAATTATCCTTTGCTAATAATGACAACCACACTATCAAAGCAAAAATGAAGCAAACTTTCAGAAACATTTTTAAAGCACAAATGGCAAACATATTTTATAGAATCACAGAAGTCAGAGTCTAATGTAATAGTTATTTAATAAACAGAGGCAGCCAGACTTTGGCTTTATTTTTACTCAACAAATTCAACTAATCTGCCAAGAATTAGTGACTCCAATGTCAGGTGTTCATAGTAATAATCCCTTTTTAGGTCCCTAGCTCCTAATGGTTGTCAAGGTAAATAAAGGCCAAGGAAATGAGTGCATAAACTTTGTGGTATTTTTAAATGTCACCTCTATAGGGAATAATATTCTATATATCTAACCAATCCCTATATATTTTCTTTTAAAACACCTAAAAAAGGCATGTATTGAGTCTCTTTCATTTTCATGGTGCTGAGAGAATTGAATGAATTATATTTTCATTCCTAATAGACTCTGAGTTTATTTTAGAATTCAATTTCCCTTATAAAAAGAAATATGCAAATCTTAATTAACCAAACTAATTACAGAAGTTTTCCCTATAAGAAATTATGTTCAAATTCAACATGCTACACAGTAAAAGAAATGGTGAGTACCCTCAAGGAATTCATAGTGTAAGGGAGATGATGTAGTTTTACAGTGAAATAGAATTTAAACTGAATCTTAAATGATTTCTAACAGTGGATAGACAATGAGGAAGAATAAAGATGACAGAGAAAGAGTATGAGCAAAGCCATGAGTATGCATGTTCAATGATTTTTTAAGAGACTTTGAGGTTTACATATTTTATATTTATGCATATTTCATTATCCAATGTGTTTAAGCACACCAGGAGTTAAAGGGACTATATTGAAAAGAATGAAGTACTTTGAAACTTTAAAGGCCCCTTAGAAAATCTATCCATGTCTCAAAACCTCTAGTAAGTAACATAGCCCTGCCCTCATCTCTTCTCTTTACAATAGTAAGTTCCTCTATATTTCTCTCAAATTCATTCCTTCCCAAAGTTCTGAAGGCATTGCTTCCCATCTATATAATTTATTCCCTGAGAAAAGTGACTAGGCATTATAGGATATTTATTGTTTCCTTAAAGCTATCATCAGCCTCTGATACTTAAATTCCTTAGAGATACTTGACACTAATCATAACTCTCACTTCAGGAACACTGGACCTAAGTAACTCAGGGTAGAGTCCTCAGTAAATGGTTCCTTCTGTTACCCTCAAATGGTCTCAGCCAATGATGTCCCAATCCTGGGAACTACTTTAAGCCTTCATATTTCCATGGTGCTAATGGATTGTTTAAATCTTTGTTAATATCCTCTGTGTTGTTAAGACTTAAGGAGAAAAAAAAAAAAGACTTAAGGAGAAAACTATCTCCTTTCCCTGATCCCATTGTTAATACTACCTCTCCCTTTGTGCTTATGTTTATATAATCATTTTTACAAATTTTTGAAAGAAAAATATTTTTTAAAAAATTTATCTAATGATATCTTATTAGAGCTTCATAACAGTCTTGTGAAGCAGAAAGGGCAGATATTATCACCATATTACAGATGAGAAAACAACTTCAAAGCCATAAAGTGTCTTTTTCAAGATTACACAGGTAAGAAAGGGTATTAAGTCTTACTAGTATCAATCAGTTGCAGAAGACAATCATACCATTATTAAAACTCCTTCTCACCAGTGTTTTGGGGAACCAGAAGTAATAGAGATATAGTCTTGGATATTAATCTGGTCCCAGAAATATTGGATCAAAATTATATCCCCTCTTCTAAAAGCAAGAGTAAATTTGAGAATTCTGATAGATATGAGAGAGTTGTTAATGTAGTTTGTTGTGCTTCTCCAAACTTAATGGATATTGTTCATTATTCATGATAAAACAGGACAATTTCCAAAAATTGATTATTTTTTCTCAAATAGGACTTGAAATACATGGGGGAATTTCTACAAAGTGCCCTTAAAGAGGAAGGAAGCAATGGCCAGAGTGAGCATGTGTTTTCTTAAGAGCATTATGGAAAATAGAAAATAACTTCACTTAAAGCAATTAAGTAGTTTTGAATATACTATTTTTTTTGATGAAACAAGTAATGATTTTGGAAACTTAATCACATGTATATGGCAATATTTATATTCCAAGAAACTCTAGGTGTCAAAAATAGCTAGTCATATGTTGGAGATCCAGAGCTCAAATATCTGGCAGCCTCACCTATCTAAACACAGCTGACAGAGCCAGGAAGGAAGCAAAATAGTCCTGAATTGCCAAAATAGATGTCATAAAGTCCATAAACTAAAACCCATACATTTTGTTCCATAGGAGAGTTTCCCTTTTCAACACACATCCTATCCAAATAAAATAAAACAAGCAGGCTTTTACTCATTTTTGGTAAGTCAAAGCTCTATTTTAACTAACTTGGTAGTGCATTTTCAAACCCACAAAAGATTAGAAAGACCTAATCAAAATGATAGGGACTGCTTAAGACAGGCCTACTGACAATGATAAGTGAGAACTGATAGCTGGAAAAGGTAGAGATATAAGTATTATAGACATAATCAAAAAGAATAAGAAATGAAAAAATGGGGCCATTCTAATGTAGGTGAAAACAAAGCTAGTGGTTTTAATAACCCTGAGCAAAGAAACATATACCATACAATACTGATGTTTGTAATAATGACCCTCAGTGATCCTGAAAACATGCATTAAGTAATAACCTTTCTTAAATAACAATAATAATACTACTGACAATAACAGCAAACATTTATAAAGTGATTTAAGCACTTTCTAAAAATTATGCTGCACACCAGTCACATCTAGTGCAGCTGCCATTATGTACAGATAATAAAACTGAAACCTAAAGAGAATTAACTTGCCCCAAATCACATAGCTTAAAGTGGCCAAACTAAATTGGAATACTTATCCTATGAATCTGAATTAGTGCTTCTTTCATATACCACGTTCCTTTGGTTGACACAAACTGCTTCACCCATAAGAAAAATTGTATTTTAGATATATTTGCAACTAACATGATGTTTTAAATGTTTAGGTATTTAGAGAGCTACATGATCATTTCTACAGAGTACAACTGTCCAAAATACAGATCTTTTGCAGATTTCAGAAAACCTAGGTTTTACCTTATTTTCATGCCCTGTTGTAAATATGAGCTGTTTTGTTTGGATAAGCTATCATTACAAACAATTTGCACAAATAAAACATCATGTGAATTTCCAGTCTTATAAAGGCAAAACCAAAAATGCTTTATAATATTATAAGACCAACAACTATTATTTAGTTAGTTAGTTAGTTAGTTTTGGTACCAGGGATTGAACTCATGGGTACTTAACCACTGAGCCACATCCCCAGACCATTTTTATATTTTATTTAGAGACAAGGCCTCACTAAGTTGATGAGGCTAACTTTGAAGTCGTGGTCTTTATGCCTTAGCCTCCCTAGCCACTGGCATTACAGGTGTGCACCACCACACTAGGCATCAATTGCTTTTTAAAATGCCATTTTAATGAAAACCAAGGTATAGATTTTGTTTGTTAATTTTCCAGTGGAAATAATTTATATTATAAAATGATGTAAATAGAGTTTTTAATGGCAAATTTTCATTCTGTGTTTAGGATAATATTCAAGTCATCAATATATCTTTATCTGTGAAGAATGGGGTCCAAACAGATTTTAACAGTCAAAAAAACTGTACAAATGCCTGGGATTCTTCATTAACTCATTAGTTTAAACAAATGTATTAAGTAAAGTTGTGACTGAGGTTGTGTATGGAATAATCAATCTAGATAGAAAATGGTACAGATAGTTTTAATTAACAAATATAATAAAATATTTTCTGAATTAGTGCCAGTATATAAAAACATGCATCACATTACATGCACTCAGCAGATATTCAAGAAAAGAACCTTTATTTTAAACCTAAAAACTCAAGTTTGCAAAATGTATTAAAACACAATTTTGTGTTTAAGGTATACGTGTTGTGGGTGAATCCCATGACACTTCTGAGATATTTGGGGTGCTTCTGATTTGTTTCCCCAAGGAGAAAAAAGTCTCATAGATATTTCAAGTTATAAGGATATTATTTCCTATAATTAATACTAATATCAAAAAGCTTTTCCTCTTCCATCTACCTTGCTCAAGTAGTGTATTATTCCTAAAAAAAAAAAAGTTAAGGCCATATTGTTCTCATGTATACTTTTCAAAGTTTGAATAATTAACTCATATTCACTTGTTTTCAACTTATATTTTGTTTCTCTCAAGAGAAGGTGAATAAATTGGACCCATTGCTGAGAAACAAGTATGCAACTTATTCAGCTGCTCATCAATTTGTGTAAAGAAAGATTTTCTCACAAGGTCCATAGAACAAAATGTTTTCATTTAGACAGATAATATAGGCATGAATAATTACTTCAGAAGGATCATTTTGAGGATGTAGGTAAGGGTGCCATGTTTTATGAAGACACTCAAACACCATTTTTAAGAAAAATCTTCACAATGATATACTTAAATTGCTAGAGCATATAGGTGACCCTAACTGATTGTTTGATTACATTGTCTTGGAATCATCCAAACATTCAAGTGAGATAGTTTGAAGATCCTCCTCCCTTTGACGAATTTCCAAAGCATTGTCCTTGCATCTCACACATGACTGAAGAACCGAGCCTCCATGTTCTGAAAATTGATCACGAAATTCTGAAGTCATAAAATAATATACGACTGGATCAAGACAACAATTCAGATTTGCAAGACACAGGGAAATGATGTGGAAACATAGAGTGCTCTTAATGAAGGAACAATTTGAAAAAACATGTTGCTTCACCATCATAAAGAATGGGAAGTTGAGATGGTAAGGAGTGAAACACACAATGAACACCACTGCACACATCAGGACCATCCTCAAAGCTTTTTTCCTTTCTTTTGTATTCTGAGGGGGAACTTGGAATTCCTGTAAAGATTTTCTTGTTTTCCAGGTGCAATAAGTTATAATTATAACAGGCAATACAAACCCTCCAAGTTCAGCTGCAGTTACCATACCAATGGAAGAAGCCATGCTAATGTTGTGAATCCCTAGATCAGCAAAGCAGAATTTGGTGTTCTTGGCTAAGTTCGCACTCCTCAGGATGGGAAGTGGCAAACAGGCAGTCCCCACGATGACCCAGATGGCAGCACTGATGCCCACATCATACCTACGCTTCCAGTTTCTGGCCCTGAATGGCTTGAGGAGAAAGAAGCACCTCTGCAGGCTGATGCACGTCAGGAAGAAAATGCTGGCATACATGTTGAGATACTTCAGGTAGAAGCACAACAGACAAAGGGCCCTCTGGAAAGGCCAGTGGTGATTGATGTAATAATAAATCCGGAGGGGTAATGACAGCACATGAGCCAGGTCAGCCACAGAGAGGTTGATCATAAAAATGATGGCTTTATTTTTCTTGCTGATGAAGCGGCACAGGACCCACAAGGCTGCACTGTTGGCCACAAGACCAGGTATGAATATCAGGATATAGGTGGTTGCATAGAGGGAGTCCTGAAATGGCATTTGAAGATCAGTGCAGTTTGCTCTTGTACTGTTTGTGTTGTTATTTCCCATCTTGAGGACTTATACACCTTCCTTAAGAAAAACATTAGAGTGATGACTTCTGCAGTAAATAGAACAAAAACAGAGTCAAGGCCATGTCAGTTTATGTTTGAATATGCAAATATATTTGTTCTTTATCACAGAAGTTTTCAAGTATGAATTTCTATAAATTCAAAAGATCTCATCTATGTAAACAGAAAATATCATGTCAATCCACAAAGGAATGACAGGAGTGAGAAAGACATTTTCAGGAATCAAAAAGATTAGTACTTTGGTAGTACCTTAAGTCAGATTTTCTCCTTTAAAGGGAGTAATCAAACTCCTAGAGCTAACCAACCAACAGGCAAGACCTCATTGCAAAACAGCCCCTGGACATACATTCCAACACTCTTTTGAGGTAACACATTTCAGTTTTGCAGTCATCTCCATCTGCATATCCAAAGTTTAAAATTTAACTGAGTTCTCTATCACCAACCCTGGGAGAAAGAAAACTTAACTCATTTTTTTACTGCTTGTTTATGAAGGATTAGATGATGGTAAGGTGAGTCTATAAACCTTTGTAAATGAGACATGGGATAGGGGCCTTGGGAAGAGCTGAAAAGGTTACCAAATCTTGGGTGGATAGGAGCTTGGAATGACGGTACAACTCAGGTAACTTTTGCCTCTCAGAATTTGAGTGAAAAGTTAGTCTTGCTTGTATGATGTAGCACTTTTCAGAAGCTCCTGTAATTAAAGTTCTACGTTTATTAACAGTTTTATGGTAGCTCAGACATTCACGTTTATTGAGACTAATATTGTCACCATTTGAGGCAAATACCTGAAGGATTTTTTGCTGTAGATACAGCAAAAAAGGGCGATGTATCCTTCATCTCTCAGGGCAACTCCAGTAAAAAGTTATTAATGTGAATGATTACATTTTTAATGATCATAATTGTTAGAAATTTCTTCCCTTTAATGAGTCAAAATCTATTCCTCTGTTATTTCAACCTAGTTAGGTCGGTCAAGGCCAAATAAAATAAAAGTCTATTCCCTGTTACACACACAAGCTCTCCAAACATCTAAAGATAGGGATCATGTCCTCTCTTAAATCTTCCTTATCCAGGTTAAACTCTCATTCCTCGAATGACATTGTCCTTGTTCTTGGTTTGCTTTATGTCAGAATGTTATTGCTTTTGGCCAAAAGCCATTACAGTACATAGCTTACTTTACTTTTGAAAATTAAAGTTAAATTACAAAATGGTTGGTATTTTTTAGGAAAATATTATTTATACATCTGATGGTAGAAACAAAAGGTAATTGAGATTTCAATACTGCTTTGTGCTTTTTAATTGCCTGCAGAGGCAGTTATTTTGCTAGACATTTTATGGAATTAAAGGAAAAATTAGATAGCTTTAACATTAACTACCTAACACTCAAGTGCAATTGTAAATAAACATTTTCAACAATTCTTGAAATATAAACTTGTAAAACAATATATGATCTAAGTGTGCTTATTCAACCTTAAACACAACCAATTAAAAATGTAAAAATGCATTTAATTATATACAGCACATACAGTGCCAAACAATCTATTTGATGCCTTTATTTACTTGACTGACAGTTCACTGAAATAAAACAACCAGGTGATTCAGGCAAACAACTACTTTGATTATTTTTCACTGAGTTGACTCTGTTGCTGAATTGCTCAATTAGTTTAGTAAACTATAAATATTAAACTGGGTGGTTTATCCATTGGACTAACTAAAATAATTCATATTGTTTTCTGTATGTTCACTGTAAATTTGAAAAAGTCATACAATTGGACAAGAACTAGTCTTGAACTAAAATTAAGAAAAAGTTTATTACACATGATCATCTTTGGTTTTGTTACAAAAATGATTAGTGATTACCGAATGCTTATTTTTGTCCAGGTGCTATTATAAGTATTTTATATACACTCTATTAATCTCTGACAGAAATCCTTTGAAATAATAATATATTATTGCTATTTTATGGATGAGGAAACCTAGGTCCCAAGAAAGGCAAGGCTCACTTTTTCCATGAAGACTTTCCTGAACTCTCCAAACCACAAGTCACTGGCATCACAGTATCCACAGCTCTGATTATTTCTTTTAGGAAGAATGAATTTTTAATATATCCAACATGATGTGGTGACTTACATTTTCATGGGGTCTATTTTATTGCCCTAAAAAGATAGCAATCTTCTACATATTGAAGACTCATTCTCTTACTTTTTTCTGGCCTCCAAAGTAAAATATCTTGAGTACATTATAAGTGTCTTGAGTACATTATAGGTCAACTAATTATTTGTTGGGTGAATAATTGTATAATAGTTGGATGAATCTGAGAGACAGAAACTGTCTCAGAGGAAAATAATCACTGAAAGGGAATAAGTGTCTGGGGGATTAAAATTAGTTGTGATGTTTGACTTGACCACCAGGTGTCATAAGTATACCAACGTTCAAATATCTTTTGACATTTAATAGAATTTGTTTTAAAATTTCATTAAGGGAGAAATAAAGGGAGAGTAGTACCAAGAAGCATACTGTGTAACTTCAGAAACAGAATTTTTAAAGAGTATTTTAGAGAGTTTACATTTATTTTATTTTTCTCAGTTTCTATACTGCCTCATATACTTCTATAGAGACAGCTTGGCTTCTAGATACATTATGGATTTTTAAAATATTCAAGTTGTTAAAGACCATTAAGATCTTCTGATTCAGTAACTTTTATATTAGGAAACCAAGCCCAGAAAAAAAGGAGACTGAAATGTTCAAATTCACATAAAAAAAATTAGTGGCAAAGGCTGAACCAGGATCTCTTGCCTCCCACTACAGAGCAATTTCTACTTTTCCAGGAACTTCTCAGATGAAAACCATATTTTTGTAATTATCTAATAATAATACAAATGTTCAGAAACAAACCAATGCCAGATTTTAGACCACTAACCTTGACAGTGAACTGTTACAGCAAGAGGGATTAGTTCCTTCCAAATATTCTAGGACAAATACAGTATTTTGAAAATGAATATTTCTATTCCCTAATGATAAGATTGTGTAAGAAGGCTTCTTAGAATCTTAGATTATTTTGTTTTTAAACTTTTATTGTTTCTTCTCACAAGAAATGTCTCACATTAGAAAGAGATTAAAAACAACAAATTTTATTAATATAAACTATATTTCAACCTGAGACTCTCATGTAGTCTATTACACACACACACACACACACACACACACACACACACACACAACAGATTTTTAAAAAATGTAGTTGTCGATAGACAGCATGCCTTTATTTAATTTTTTTATGTTGTGCTAAGGATCGAACCCAGGACCTCACACATGCTAGGCAAGTGCTCTGCTACTGAGCTGCAGCCCCAGCCCCCAACCCAGATTTTACATTGTTAACATTTTGAGGCATAACCTCTCGAATTTAATTTTTCTTCTATGTATATAAATCCATATACATACCAAATTTGATTTATATGCACGTCTTTTTTATAAAGCTTTATTTATTCAATCATAATTAATATAAATATCTCTCCATATCAGCATCTAAGTAATCATTTTAATGAACGATTAAAATTCCACCAGAATTATAATACCATGATTTATTAAACTAGTAGACATTGAGGTAGATTCCCATTTTATCACTATCAGAAACAATAGTGAAAATATTGGTAAACATCCTACTGGGCCTGGTGGTACAAGGCTGCAATCCAAAAACTCAGGAGGGTGAGATAGGAGGATTAAAGGTTCAAGGCCAGAGGCCAGTATAGGCAATGTAGGGAGAAAAATAAAAAGGGCTCATGAGGTAGATCAGTGTTGAGTGCCCCTAGGTTCAATCCCTAGTGCCACACAAAAAAAATGTAAACATTCTTTTTATAGATAGATATAGATGTATTTAGTTGTAGATGGACACAATACCTTTATTTTATTTATTTATTTTTATGTGTAGCTAAGGATCAAATTCAGTGCCTCACCCATGCTAGGCAAGCGCTCTATCACTGAGCTACAGCCCCAGCCCTAAACGTTCTTATATACTCATTTTTGTACATTTGAACAATTGTTCCCTTTGAATAAGTTATTAAAAGTGGAATTGCTAGGCTGTTGATGTGTAATGACAAATTATTCTGCAGAAATACACCCCATGTGAAATTCCAAAAATGCTCTTTTCAAGAACATCACAATGTCAAATCTAGATATATAAAATTTTGTCTAGCTGGAAGATCAAGTATAATGTAGAGAATTGTGATTCAGTCTTAGTTTTTTCAAAGGGCAAATGACAAAATTTGGATATTTATGTTGTGCAATGTAATGTTTTGATATGTGTATACATTGAGGAATGTTGAAACCAAGCTAATTAACATGTCAATCACCTCAAATACAAATCATTTTATTTGAGAACACTTAGCAATTGTCAAGTATACTGTACATTTTTATTAAGTATATAATTATGCTATGCAATAAATCTCCAGAATTTTGGATTCAATCTTTAATCAGGCTCAAAAATAACTTCTATCTTGTCACAAATAAATTCAATAAAGTTTACCATGTCCACCTCAACACCACGGTTCTCGAATTTAAGCCTCAGAATCATCTAGAGGTCTATCACACCTATAGTTTCTGATTCAATAGATCTGGGTTGGGCCCCATGAATTTGCATTTCTAATTAGTTACCAAATGATTCAGGGACCGCTCTTTGAAAATCACTTCCTTAAAACACTATTTATGCCAGCAAAGATTGTGTTTTATTTGAGAACCAGTCTCTTCATGAATATTGTGAATCATGTAATTTTTTTAAAATTAAATGTTTTTTCTACTTTGAACATGAATAAATTCACAGAAAGCTTGTAGCCTAACTTTTATCACTGTACTATAATCTGTAGTTTTGATTTACACTCATTTATTTCTCTTGTCTTGACCACATGGAAAAAAATTTCTAGTAAAACAAAACAAAAACTGTGTCAAAACATTGCATTGTATTCATATTTCAGAAAAAGGCTAAAGATT